CACTTTCAATCGGTTCGTCCTGCGTACCTTGTGACTTCACTTCTACTACTTCCGCTGTATCTTCAAGTTCAATAGGGGCTTCACTTCCATTCGTTTCGTCCTGCGTACCTTGTGACTTCACTTCTACTACTTCCGCTTGTTGTATACTATTTTCATCACTGAACATAGAGCTCGTAAAATGATTTTTTTCTATCTTAGATAATTTTTCATCTATTCCCTCGGTGGTTTGTGAACCAATGTCTTTGTCGATGATCGTTGAAGTTGCAGAATTTTTAATACTAGTCTCTTCTGCTGTTTTGTTTTTATCTAAGTTTCAATTTGAAGGGGTTTAAGTTGATGCAATATTTTTATTTATTCATTCTAAAAGAAAAGAATTTAGCAAACCTTTGCCTTGAGCTTCTTCAAGAATCTTCGCTTTCAAGAATGCAATCTTTTTACAATTATTCTCTTGAGTACATCCAATAATGGACATTTTTCAACGGCCTCTTACAAAATATTCTTTTTAATAATGGCCTGTATTGCTTTTTAACAATATTTCCCACCTCCTGACTAATTAGAACACTTCTTCTTTTTTTTTTTCTTCTCTGTCACTGGTTTTTCTATTTCGTCAGCGAATTTGCATCGTTGTGTACAACCAGATGTACGGAAAGATTCAATTGGCTATTATAAATCATAATATTAGAATATAAACTATATGCAAATTGGGCCAAGCTATATCTCAAAAATATTCCCAGGCTTCCATCTAGGCCTCTCTAGGAAAAATGAAAACAGGAAATCTCTTTTCGACGATATTAATACTATAAATGATTTAGAAACAAAATAATATGATTTTTAATAATTAAACATTATAAAATTTAGTATATAACTGAACAGTATGAATAATAAAGTAATTATGAATTCAAATTTTTCCGCGTAAATGTTTAAACGCAGGTGGTGGGGGAGCCAAGGGCCTATATATGGGCCCATCTCCCCTGCATTGTCAGTTTACCCAGGGAAGCCTACGGGGAAGGATGGGAACCCGGGACGTCATCGTTGTCCAAAGTAATTTATCTCCAAGTGAAGATACTTTAAATTTATAAAATTCATCTTTATATCTATGCATTAATATTTCTAATTTTATTGCATTATAATTATCTTATAGGTACTGTATAGTAAAGTTTAATTAATTAATTTTTTAATTGAACACGAAAGTTAAATGATACCAGCCGGAGTGGTGATTAATAATTTTCCGAACTTTCGAAATTATTTAGAATCCATTGGTAAAGTTCTCGACAGAATTGGTATTTATTGAACTACTTTGGGTATCGAGCGGCGTCCTGAATATTCGGTACATTGTAGTATGGTTCGTTGAGAATATTTCTCGTCTCCATGGAATTCACTGGTTGCTCGGTAATCGAAGTACTTTCGAAAGTATACAGAATTTGATTTGTACCAATTCGAATGCAGAATGTTACTTGTTACTACGCACGATCAATGTCGGATCATCTGTCCCGGCAGAAGATGTGCAGTGCGGATCGCAATCGAAAAGATCGGGCGTGCCTTTACTCTGAGCTTTCTGTGATACGGTATCGCGTTTGGACTGGGAATTATTAATAGTTTCACTGGTACTTTGCTGGTCCACCATCGCAAAAACAAGAGTCGCGATTTCTATCTCCAAAGCATTTTCGAAGTCTTCTTCCAAGAGGATTACTCTTTTATAAAGAAAAAAGAAGTAGAGCAATTTCTAACTCCAAAATCATTTCTTCATATTTGTTCTAATTATTACATTCAAACGAATAATAGTTGCGAATAATAATTAAGAGACTTAATCCGAATTTTCTGTTCTTTCAAAGCCACTTCTAGTTTAATTGCAGAAGGATATTGTAATAGGTTTTAATAAATTCATTTATTAACTCACCTACAGATATTTTTTCAACTTTTTTGTGAAAACACTTAATTTGGTATGGGGGATGTAAAATGCAGAACGTGTAAAAAAAAATTTTGAACCTGAAGAGAGAAAATTGTGACGGAGACGGATTTTTAGCATGTCATTTTCGTTGCCATGTTTCATAACACGCTTGTTTTTTGTTGAATACTGAAATTTAAAGTTCCGTGCACATTTTGCGAAAGGTTTTACAATATTCTATATTTTGTATCAACATTTTCTAATTTTTAAATTCTCGAACTTTAGAATTTTAAAGTAATAAGGGGTCCAAAGTTCACCTAGTTACACCCTTAAAGTTAGTAGATATATAAATATATTATTTTATCAACGTAAGCAAAGTTGCACTATCTCAGATACATAAATTTGTCGAATCCGAAGGATCTCTTAATTAATTATCGCAAGGGTTACCGGAGAAAATGATATTCCATAGCCAAATGGCCGGATCAGTACTAATGTCGTAATACGGCGGTGCATAATTAATGAAATTAATATTGGCTTAGCCGAGACCAGTCACCTGGCGTATTGTGGTTCGCCGCGGTGAAACGTGAACAGAGAGGGCCAACCAACTACCGAAATTGCTTTTATAGGCAGGTTTATCGCTCGCTTTACATTGTCCAGCTAATATCCTAAAATTATCCTTCGATTAATGAACAAGTATTTCATGTTACCGCCTTTCTCCACTTGCATTAAAATAAAATCTTCTACAATTGTCACTTCGAATACATTAATGAACAGGTATTAATTGGAAAATGAAATTTAGGAAAATAGGAAAATGTTATTTAATATGAAATTTTTAAATCTTCTATATTTGAGTTTTGGAAAGATGCACCAAAGTGCAACAGTGATGCGATCCGTTTAAATTGACGCAGTCTCTTCGTGAGTGAACTAGTTCACATCTAAAGTTAATCCCAAACATAGAGAAGATGGTAGCGACGTTCAGAACTTGAAGACGTAGTATTCTGTGTACAATTATAACAAGGACATCCTTACAACTGTCAAGGGATGATAATATTTGGTCTTGTCTAATTACCGGGCGACGTTTTCTACAATTGTGTTACTCCGTGTTCCTGATTTCTAAGCTTCAGCTGCATTTCTATGTACATTCACAGTAAGAAGACGTATTCCCGGCCGGAAGTACCCCATAACAGTGACAACGGACATTTGTTTGTTTCATTAGCATTCGCGCCAGAAACACAGAACATTGTTTTCTGTTGTTTCTCAAAAATTATATTTTCATTATTTTTTTTCTTTTCCGTAATTAAGCTTATTACATCATCATTAAATGGCGCATGGTTCTCTTTCTGCATCAATATGTACTTTATTTTTTAATTACGTAGTATTTACCAACAGTTATCTAAAAGTAAATACTAACGATGCAACTGTAGATAAAGAGCAAATATTAGTCGAGCCAACATTATTATTCTTGGAATAATATTTTATAAATATAAATCTCAATATGTAACAGTTAACTATTTTATTTTAAGCCTTTTGCAATTTGAGAAAATATGCATTTTAGCGAAAATTCAAATGATAATATTAATTAAAGGGAGCATAGAATTATTAGACAGCAAATTAGAAATTCTAACTCAAAATGAAATTTGATATTCCATCAGGGTCGCCTTGGCAAGATGTAGTCCAATTCCCTGAACGAAATTTTAAGAACGACATTACAGACCACTTTGCCTCTCTTCGGATTCCGCGAGATTACATTTGCAATATTAATCTAGCCTAACCCGAAACCCAATCATAAATAACGCGGCTGGTTCTTGTTGAATTTGAAATAACTTTCAAATCAGCAAGCAGAAAATGAAAATGCAACATTACCATTTTTGCGAATAACGCGAACCGAACACTGCGCGGTATATACTGTTTAATGAATATTAATTTTCTTGCTGTGGTTACTAATGACTAAATAACTTAATGAACAAGCACAGTATTTTCATGTATGCTTTGTAGAGCAGCGATTCTCAATCTTTTCATAAACGATGCTACAGGGGCTGGTCATACAATTACAGAAGATAGCAGAAGTTTAGCTTTGAATGATTTAATTTTTAATTGAACGAAGGCAAGGCATTGCGAATGAACGATGGCTTTTAGAATCTTTGAGACGAGGAGTCACGCTTTGGTGACCAGGCTATTGGGTATCAAGAGTTCCTCGTGACAACTGTCGATTCTGTGGACTGCTCTTCATACCGAGAAGGATTGTTTTCATTATCCTGGAGAGTATAAAGGGTAAAGTGGTGATATAGAAAAAGGGAGGCTTTGGTGTGTTGAGTACGTTGCATCAAATTCAGTATTCCATTCGATAGAGAAAAGATTGGTATTATGACTCCTCTGCTAGTAATTTAACCCTCTCAGTAATTGGGGGTTTAATTAATTTTATTCTCACTTTTTAATTACGAGAATCTTATTTCTCCTATGTTTTAAATATAGATATAGTAAATTGTATAAATTTTGTAACTAATTTATCTTGCGGAATTATATATTGTGAATTTACAGTCATTATTAACGGTAATCGATTGATTCCTCATCAAATAATGAATTATTGTTTAAATATTCCATAAATACAATTTATTAAATCAATCATCCGTTTAATTAATTCGATAGGTGTACAAGCACCTTTCTGAAAATATATGAAATTGTTGTTATTTCTTCTTTAGCACACTTTTGAGATCAAGGTGATCATGGAAGTGTATAAATGACCCTCCCAAGCAGTGGAAAGGCGAGCCGAATCTACAATCGCAACAAATGTTATTTTCATGTTCCCTACCCTATAAGAAGCGTTGCTTAATGTGTTTTTGCAACGAAGAGAAATGCGAAGCTATCTGTATTTCGTAATGATCATGACCATAGATCTTACCGTAAGCACGTAAAACGAAGATCGTTCGGCCACGTTTTATTGATTACGTTTCCATTTTCTCTTTTTATGCATAAAATTCACGTATGAAGTTATGAAAAGAATAGAGCGGGTGGATGAATTGTATAGTCATCAATGGGGGGTTCGTTCATAAAGAACGTTCGCTCTTACAAGTTCAGAAATTTGAACATAGAATAACTGAATTTGATTTTCACTCACCCTGAAACTCCTTCCTAGCTGCACTGACGGAAGTTACAATGTTGGCCACGTGACCAAGCACCGTGGCGAATAAGAGAAGACCAAACAGTAGTTGAGCTATCACGAATAAATATTCACCCTTGCTTCTTGGTCTGAAAAGAAAAATATACGATTGCCATTTAAAACTTTAAATAATTAATGAAACAAAAGAGGATGCAAATTTTAAATTTATTGAATGAAAGTACCAAGCTTCAGACTCTAGAAAGTTGAATTTATAAATTAACCCGATGTCCTATTGAAAGGTGTGAAAAATAAAGAGAGGGAAGTGGAAAAGAAAGATAAAGTTGGAAGAAAAGTGAGGTCAGAATAACAAGAGAAATATATTAAGTCTGCAGGAAGAAAATGGACCAAGTTGGAAGTTTATTGAAGGAAGGCGACAAACAGACAGAAATTGAAAAAGTATTAAGCGATGACCGAGAGAGTTTAATGGAAAATATAAAGGGATTGATTGGGTAAGGTGATGGAGAAATTAAAAAATTGATGGAGTAAAGGGGATAGGAAATGAAATGAAATAAGTAAGGAAGAAGCAAGTGAAAAATTTTCCAATAATTTCCCTGATGATATTCATTGCTTGTGACAAATGGATAATTTCTCGAAAATAAAAATAAAATTACCTGGGTAGATCACCGATAGTCGTAAGAGCCAGTGTACACCAATAGTAGCTTTGCAAGTATTGTTTCACGACATCCGCTGTCTCCGAATCACTGAACACCCAGTTTTTACTGCCGAATCCGTTGTTCTTATAAATAATGTGATAGAGGCACCCGTTCCAGTGAAAGATCACCAGCAAATAATGTATCAAGGAAGTGGAGCGGAATAAATTTGGATAGTTTGTGTGCCGCTCGGTTCTGTCCATGAACGCCCAAAACCTGTGTGACAATGAACGAAGAAAATTGGATCAAATTCCAGCGGAGCTTGTCATAAAGTTCAAAGCCGTTGTTGAAGTATCGCGCGAAAAATTTCGTACTTTAAGCTAAGGAATTTTCGTTTAAACGTGAAAAGAGAAGGAAAACAGTTATCAAACTGTGTACGTAGAATTATTTACTAAAAATTCATTAACACGTTTCGCAAATAAATTCGTCGTTTATTATTTAACAAAAAATATTTTATGTAACACAAGGGTTAATTCGAAATTGAATTTCACGATGAGGGTAAAAATGTTGTTTAATGACAGAAAAATAGGATTTACTTACCGATATATTTTGACGAGTCTAAAACTTCGTAGTATACTGTTGAATCCTATAGATAAGTATAAAAAGTCGAGAGGCAGCAGGCACAGGATGTCCATATAAAACGTGGTGCTGTTTGTATAGTGATTGCGTAGTTTTGTCGCGTCGGTTTGCAGTACACCGTCCTCTAAATACCCCGTTCGAATATGAAATACTATATCCAGCACGTATAAAAAATCGGAGAAATAATCCAAGCAGAACCAGACCCAACGTGTTTCGCCTGCAAAATCCAAAAGAATACATTTTTACAAAAATATCAAATAAAATGTCCATTATAATGTTATAAATCCAAGTCTCATAGGGGTTCAGTAATTATGAATGATTATTAGAAATTTGGGCATAGCAGGAAAATTGTTAAATTTAAAATACAATTGAAAAACACTGACCGTTTATCTCTTGGAAGGCGAACCTGTAGATTATGACCCAAAAGTTGTAGAGAAAGGCAAGTGAAACCACCATTGACCAATAATAACAAAGACGTCCAGCGGGATCGAAGATGAAGGACCAGTTAGGAGCACCCGTACGAAAACCTTTTGATCCAGGTTGCCCAGGGAAACCTCTGCTACCGCGTTGTTGTTGTTGTTGCTGCACTGTATACCTTCTATAAAATAGTGTTAGGGTAATTGAGAGACACGTTTGAAGCGAAAGTGGTCCACGTTTACTAAACAGGAAACGTGTATCTGGCTAGTTCACAAGTACCTAGTTCGTCTAGACTCTAGACCTAAGGGCTCGACTTAGCAAAGATACTTGTTGTAAAGTTGAGTTACCGGATTTGTGGAGTTACATTACCCTCCACCGCACACCTTAGCTGGCTGAACAGCTAAGGCATGCACAACCGACAAACTCCCTTATACGTCAATCATGGAAGTCAGGAATTATTTCTATGACTTTATATCGTATAACCTACTTTCTTGCAAACTGTATACGAATTTCGTTACCTTCGTAACGGACGGTCCTCGGGGAACTTGTTGCGTCAAACTAATTAGCTATGCTTTGGATATATTTTACGTGGCTATTCAATTTAGAAATTTGGAAGTTTAGCAATACGGAATTACAGAAATATCAAATTTGGAAAGTTTGAAACTTAGAAATTTCCAGTTTTCATGACTGGTGATTTGGAAATTCAGTAATTTGAAAATTTGGGAATTGGGGTATTTAAGAATTTGAGAATTTGGGAATTGGGATGTTTGAGAATTTGAGAAATAATTTGGAAATTTAAAAACATAAAAATTTACAACAATGCCCAGGAGTGTACGCCATTTGTCCGGGTGCAATTAATCAAGTAATGTTCTTCTAGCACGAAGAGCTCAGAATTATTTCAATTTTAATAAAAAATCGATAATGGCATACTCACGTCTCGGTACCGTTACAGCTATTATTGCTGAGATGATTGACGGACGCGGGTGTATGCAAATGAGACTGATCGCGAGAGGGCGTGAGGGTAACCGCGTACGGCAGCTTGAATCTTCTACTGAGATGGTCCCTCCTCTTCGGTTTACGGCTTAGGTCGAGCTCGCTCGCTCCACGATTCACGTAAGCCCCATGAAGCGAGTCGCGGGACGAGCTGAAGTATCGCTGCTGAACTGAGTACACCTGCACCCACGAGTTTTTACGAGCCTGTGTTTTCTCGTGTCCCGCGTGAATTTATGGCGATTTCCCTGGGATCTGTTTTTGATATGTCTCGAGAAAACTTGGGTTCTTGTTCGATAGACAATTCAGATCATGAAAAATAGACCTGGGTATCGTCAGGGTGAAAACGATCGAGGTCCATTCATTTATATTTATCAGTGTCCTAATTTTCGAATTTTACTTTTATCATACAATCATCTTAAGTAGAATAAACTCGTCAATAAGATTACATGTAATGGAAAGCAAATCCTGAATAAGAAGCTGCAATACTCAAATGAATATGTGTGGTCTTAAGTACAACCACCATTAGAACCGACTCGGTAATTCTATCTGTATATTTAGATGGGTGTTTAGGCAAATGCCTGCGGGAATTCATTTATGGCAAATGCAGCTGTAACGCTGTACTACTCAACTGTGTATTTTTCAAAGACTTTTGACTTGGTTCAGAAATGTAAAAATTTAGATTTTCAGAATTTCAGAATATCAAAATTTTACCATTTGAAAGTGACTGTTATTTAATTTATCCTGTTAAATGATAATAAAACGAACCTGTTGTTGTTGTTGATAATAATGATGCGTGGGCGTGTGAGGACTCATATATTTACCGCTGACCAACTCTAAAAGATTCTGTCTGGAAGGCAATGCAGCACTCCTCGAAATGTTGTCCGCGCTTTTCGTGTCCTCTTCCTTCTCCCTTCTAATCCGGGTCTTACCGTCGAGTATCCTTCCTTGTTTGTCCTCCCGATGTCTCTCAACCCCATAGCCTAAAGCTGGAACAAAACCAGCAATTTTTTTATCAGTCACTGTTCAAGACTGATCTGATTTATGATCCAAAAAATTATTACACTTTCTAGTTCTATTTTGACTGTGAAAATTGTTATTTTTCTCATCTAAGAATTTCAAAAAATTATTGTTTTTCAATATTTTCTAACTGGAGGATTCGACGCCCCCTTTTTCCGCAGTAGCTTTTTATACGTAAACCTAGAAATTTCTTTTTTCGCACCGTAGATAGTGCGCATCAGTAAATATCATATAACCGACAGAGATTGATAGGTGGTATTGAATTTCCAGCTTTGACGGACGATGTAATAATTAGCAGGGTTATTTCGTGAAGCTTCAAATATGGGTTGAGACATTGACAGGGTGAATAAAGGGGATGAAAAGGATAGTCGGTTTTTGTTGTGATACTGTTAACGCTAATAATAAATTATCAAGAGAATAATAATATTTCATATTGTTATAAAAATATCGCACGAATTCTCGTTCGTCGTAATGCAGAAGTATATTCAATTAATTTCTTTGGTAAACTTTCAACCGGTAGAAGTTCTTTCTGCTTTGAAAGTAAGTTTCCTAGCAGCGGACGACAGAGATCAGAATGAAGAGGCGGCGGAAAGCCGAATATTGGAAATACGATACTTTCATCGGAAAAGTTCCCAAGCGAGTACTCTCTTTAAAGAAGTTGCTCGCTTTTAACAGACACGTCGAAGAAATACTAAATGGAACGGCTAAAGGGAGGCCATCTAAAATAACTTTGAAACAGACAAAAAATAGCTTCGGTTACTTGTATTAATATTCCGCTGTCACAGCATTTCGAACTTACATTCGGCTGTTTTTCAAAATTTCGAAAATGAAAATAATGTGAAATACAAAATTATATTAAAATCAGGACTCTCTCCGTGGTCCGTCATCCAAAGATTAGACCTGTATGAAAAAAATAATAAAAAAAATATATATATACTGATGAAATTGGGGCTCTCTTCATGGTCCGTCGTCCGAGGGTTAGATCTTTCTGAAAATACCTTTTTTCACTCGTGTTTTCAATCACGTATTTTACAAAATGGAATGAGAAGATTTTCCATTAACCCAGATCACATTAACAATTCAAACACAAACGTCTATTTATAACTTAAAACCGTGCTCACCGCAATTGGAAACAGCTTAACCTTATTAGTCGTAATTGCGAATCGCAATTGCGTCAGTAATCCTTTATAATTGTGTCGCACGGATGCAGTTATTGTTGCAAGTTGCTTTGGTATTTCCAAGCAGTTCAATGACCTCGCAACTTTTCAAATATTATTATATTTTTTAAGTAATTGGAGAGTACGGCGCTTCTCAACTACTTAGAAATTTGGAAATTTAATTCAAAAATTTAAGAAACATAATATTTCATCATCGGTGCACTGGAAGAAATTAAGTACACCTTTTTACAATGTTAAAAAATCAACAGTTGGCGAGATACGTTGAAGTTGAAAAGCGAGTTGTTTCTAGGGAAAGTTTGAAATACGAGTACGAAACGAGTGGATACGAGGAAACCTGATAAAAGGCAAAGCGAAAGAGGAACATTTTTCACGAGGAACGGTACCACGTGGCCGTTTTAAAATAATTTCAGCCTAAAGCCAGCGCCAAGTCGGCATTGATTTATCGACGAGCAAGTTAATTGGCGTCGTTTCTCTTCGTCTTTCTAGTAAATTTTTCTCGCGAACCCATCAATTACACTCGTAACGAAAGCAGAGAATATCATTCTCGCATGATACATTCACGAATGCTTCATTTTTTCAAAAGCTGAATTTTAAGCTGGAGGCACCTTTATAAGAGTTTCATTTCCACTGTAAAATGAATGTTCCTGTTCTAACAAATTTATGTATATTTATTTACAAAGGATTATTTTCTTGTTTGCATTATAATACAATACTGCTTGTATTTAAGCTATGAATTCCTGAAGAGCCATGAAAAGTTTTTCTTTTTTAATATTCTTTAATACTTCATTAGTTATCTTAATTTTTTGGCTTTGTAAAAAATTTCCTTAAAGTACTTATTCTGTTATACAATTATTTTATCTGAAACGTGAAACTCTTAAAATATTGAAGTTACAAAGGCGCAATTTATATACTTCAATACATATATTAGTATGGAATGAAACAAAAAAGGACGAAAAGAAGAAAAACATGTGAACTGTTTTATAGAATTTCACGTGAAATGCAATTTTCACGAGAGCGTGTCTTTGGTGCCCAGTAACGTGACGGAACAAAGTGACGTTTTTTGAACAGACCGTGTCAGCGAAATTTTCAACTTGCCCGTTAAGTTTTCAGCACTGGCGCTATTGAATCAATAAATCCAATTTTATATAAAAGGATTTCGGTATTTTAGCAAATTTTCATAAGCACAATATCTGCAACTTTGTATTGGTTTGTATTTTGTGTGGAATGTTTGGTACTCTGAAAATCATTTGTAGAATATTTTAATTTTCAAAATTTAAAATTCAACAATTTTAGGTTTTTACAATTTTTATATTTCCAAATTTTTCAAGCTTCAAAAATTCTGAATATACAGAATTGCAGTGTTCCAAAATTTCTAAGGGGACTAGTCCACCCACCCCAGAGAACGTCCAATTATTTAACAAAATTCGGATTATTAATTATTTGAAACGGAGATGTAAGACGATAATCCAACTAGTGAACCCAGGTTCTCAATCTCTCTTTGACCATTCACCTTGCGGTCAAAGCTTGCCAACAATTTCTGAACAAGTTTCTGGTAAAGTTACACGTAGTTCGACTTCAGGGCTTCCACAGAACTTTAGTCAACTTTATTTCAACTTGTTTAGCTCAGTCAGTAAATCGTGTTATCCTTTGATCGAGGCAATCACGATAAATAACAAACGAGTAACACTCGTCTTGAAAATCATTTCACTTATTGGTTTACTCGGAAGAAAAGTGTTCTTTCTTTTTTTTTACAGTACACTCGCGATCGGATCAGGCTTCCATAAGGAAAATAGCGATATAGAGTAAGCAGGAGTTTTTTGATAATATCCTAATCCTAATTTTGATAATAGTGATATTAAAAGTGGTTTAGGGACAAAATAATATAATTTTCAGTTATTAAATATTATAAAAATTAGTATATAATTGAAAAATATGAATGACAAATAACAGGTATGAATTTAAGTTTTTCTGCGCACACGTTTGTGCGCAGGTGGTGGTCCGCCACGGCCCTATATATACGGGGCCTCCTCCCCTATAGTGTCATTCTCCTCGGGACCACCTAAGGAGAAGGACGAGAGTCCGGGTTTCGCCGTTCTCCCTAGGTAAGTCTCATTTGATCCCGAGTGTTTACGAATAGCATACACGAAAGCAATGAAATTAAAACATTAATTGTTTTTTTAACTTGAAATAATTCTAAAATTGTATACTTTATGCTAATGTACACATGAATAATTCTCTGATAAAATGGAATAATATTATTGCTTTTCCTCTTCACATTTGTATGTATGCATCATATTTTATTTTATACATCAATATACACCGTTCCTATGTTAGAATTAAGAAGCTTTTTGTTAAATACGTATCGTATAAATTTAAGCTCTAAAAATTCATACCGGTGCGCTCAAGCCGTGTTTACGACCAGCTCGTTAAAAATCGCTTTGCAAACCCCTCTCGTAAATTCTTTTAGTACTGCATTAAACCTTAAAGTCCGTTGCGTTGCAAAGATCTGAATTTTTCTCGCGTTCAAAAAAGGCTCTCCACTCAAACGTTTTTGTACGATAAATACGCGTGAAGTAGTAAAATTATTTTTGTGAACTGGTAGTTTCTGAAACTGATCCAAATTCAGTAGTTTCTAATTTTAATAGCGAGTTTTGACCGAAGGATAGACTATAAATAATTGATACTTTCCCGTTGTCAATTGATTGTCCGGTAAAGGTTAAATCTGTTAGAATTGACGGATCGGGAAGGCAGAAATTACGGCGGCGCGATATTGCATCGCAATCGCGAAACCATGGAATGGGAAATGCGTTTGTCAGGGTGGCGGTCAAACAAATCGTGGAGTTACAAAGCCGGCACTACTCAAAGCATCGAACGGGTACACGCGGTGCACCCTCGTTGTTTCACTATTGACACGTAACAGGGTTCACCATCTCTCTTCGGTCCTTCCCCTCTTTGGAATTCTCAGTGTCAACGTTCCCGCGTATAAATATTTGCTTGCATTGTATTATTGGGAAATTTCCAAGTGAAACGACCTTTACCTTACTGTGCATAACCTGCCGTTTAAAAGAGATACTTATTTACATATATTATGCATGAACAATTTATAACGAGAACCCACCATCTATTAAAAAAAAAAAAACATTATCTTTTAATGTAATTTTTTATGTTGTTACAGAAGATACTTTTTGTACTTTAAGTATCCTCATAAAAAAAGTTGTCTCTTTCATAAATTAGTTTTTCTTTTTTGTGTAAAAATTTTAATGGTTATAATGGTTTACTAATATTAAAATTAGAATGTTAGAATTTGAGAATATAAATAAAATGGTTAGAAAAAAAAATATTTACCAGTATTTACTATACGTCTCCCATAAACACATAAATCTTCATTTTAAATATCACTTTCATGTTTGGTATATTCAAATACATCCTGTACAAATATTGTGGGTAAACATTTTACTGTACAGTTTACTGATTCGAATGAAATTATCCTGTCGGAATAGCGGACCAATATCGTGCCAAGCTCGGTTACTAAAACTGCTGGCATAGCTTCAAAGACAAACCCTGTGATAAATACACAGAGTAGATACGTATGAAGTTAATAGTATACACACCAGTTACTACACATAGCATAAACTCCTATGAGATTTGCCCAGTGTATTTGAGGTAAGGTCAATAACGTTGAAGTTAGGCTAATGATAGCCTATGAATTTATAATTCCATATTTCTATCAGTTTATTCATAACGCTAATTAAGATTTCATATTACAGTTGAAATTCTTTAACAAATGGAAG